CTTCGCAGTGAAAAAGTGTGCTTGGCTTTCAGTATTATTTCTCTTAATTGGGAGAGAAATTGCCTTCAGAGCTGCCAAACATATATAAAGCTATCCAATCATTCATCGGTCTATAAATGATGTATTGTGCAGAGCCAAAGTATTCATGTCATGAGGTTCATCTTGACATGAATAGTTACCACAAACCTTAATGTGGTTTGTGGTTGTCAATCCCCAGATTGTCTTTGAAGACGACACAATGGCAAACATTGTGTACCAAGCTATGTCTGTCTACCCAAGCTGATCAGAGAAGCAACCAGAAGTCCTGTGTTGACTCTGAAGATTATCCTGTTTAGAGCAAACAGGTTATCATGTTTGGTTATCCAAGAAGTCACACTGAAGTCAGATTAAATTAAACTTTTCGACCTACATGAAAAACCTCACATTTCATATGTCTTCGTGAACATCATTGCCAGCGGTGGCAATAATTTCGAAGGGTACTTTTGTAAACACATTGCAAACTTTTATGGCAAAATATTGTTGCTAGCCATAAATAACAAGGACTTCTATCTTAGGCATCTCATAGCATGTACAATGGTTTTCATGGCACATTAATTTTGCTCATTATTTTTTTATTTATTTTCTTCAAAACACAAAGTATAAATTATTTAATGGCGGGGGGAGAAGGGGGAGTTAGCGTACTGCTAGAGTTTGGGGCTTGGGGGGGGGCAAGTAGAAGGAGAGGAAGGGGGGTTACCATACCGCTAGCGGGGGAGGGGGCGAGTCGCAATCACAACTTCCTGCAGTCACCGGACGTTGTGATTGCAGCTATTAATGGAAATTCACTCATATTGCAATTTTCACCAGTCATCACAACTTTTCCGCGAATCTGACCAATGACCTTAAGATTTTCTGTATTTCCTTCTTTTCTGACCAATTACTGCAACTTGGTTAAAATTTGACCAGTCCCCTCAGGACATTGTCTTGGCCCTTCCATCTATTAAATATATTTTGCTCAATGTGTACCTTGTGTTTATCTCATCATCCATTTTCCCGTAAGATCTGACCAGGTTCCCTGTCTCTCGTCTGGAATGCGTCCTGATATGTGGTGATGATGAAGTTCAATATTGACCTCATCTAACCACGGCACCTTCTTCCACATGTTTGCTGTGTTGCCTGCTTGGTTTTTGGCAAACGGCAAATAGGGACTTTTATACCTTTCTTTCAACTTTAGCTTCTTCCTGCCACTCTTCCATTAAAGCCAGATTTGTTGAGTGCATGTCTATTACTTGGAATGTCGGAAGATTCTCGCACCCCAAGCTGTTAATGTCTCTACATAGCTTTTACACTATGTTACGCTCTTTCCATTCTTAGGTTAATTCTTTCTATGACAAACCTCTGATGCCTTCGCAGCACAGTTGCATTTGCATAGACTGAGTTGCACATGAGTATACTTTGCGACTTCAGAAGGCAATTGCTTGCACATGATTTTATTTTGGAATGTCAGATGAAAAGGACCACATTTAAATGCATGCCAGAGACTTTACCGTGCAGAAGATTTTTAAGAACCATGTATCGCATTCTTTCTAGTTCGCAATGAAGCAGTGCTTTGTGATAGTTGAACATATGATTCCAGTAGAATGAAAGCAAAGTAAAAAATGAAATAAAATACTGCAATTGTAATGTGACAAAATATGTTTGGTCTGTACCAAACAAAGCTCAAACTATAACAATGTCTTACTTTTAAAGACTTCTCCATAACTCTTGTTAAAGGTTTAGGAAGTAGAGGCTTACATGTGTCAATTGCTTTGGTTCAGGGAGACCCCACAAAAACAATAAAACAAGAAAAGAAGAAACCCGTCCCATGATAGATCATATTTCCAGCCATCCTCAGTCTCTTGTTTTCTGTCCTCAGCAGTCCTTTTCCTTTCATCTTTAAAGTGCTGAGCCCCGGGCGTGAATGGGGAAGATACGTTTGGATGTGTAAGTGCATAAGAGAGACGGAAAGGTGAACATTCCTCACCTGTCCGGTGTACAAAAAAAAAACAAAAAAACGCTTCCGCTGACTGTGGATCAGTTTGTTGTTACTTTAGGGTGAAGGATGGGAGGAGTAGGGAGTGACGGTTCAGCAACCATAGAAGTGCTAGCCATAAACTAGCGGAAGGGAGGCGAGGAAGGGAGCAAAGTAGATTAAAGGAGATGAAGGAGGACAACAGGAGAGGTATTTACAGAGATAGAGGAGGAGTTGAAGGTAGGCTCTTCATCTTCCAGTTCCAATTATTGAAAAACCACACTTGCATCACCCTGCTTTATGTGTTACACTTCATTATCTTTAGTGCCTGGCAATGTCAGAATCCATTTAGTTTTCAAATCCGTCTGCAGCGGATCCTGATAAATCTCTATGAAAACACACATCATGCACCACCGCAAGGATGACAAAACCAGCACATTGTTAACCTTTTGGTCAGAAAGTGTTCATTTGCTAACACTTTCCCACCTCTCAAAGGAACTTCTGCTCTTGAAACCAAAAGAAAAACCTGCTAATTACAGGTCTTATACATACAGTTGGAAAACAACATTAGCATAACAAACAGGATAAAGAGACCCATATCCTTATTTTTCTCACTGACCGACATGAAATCAAACAAAACAATGTGTGTTTAAGCTCAGTCAGAATTGTTTGGTAATTTTTTTTTTGTTAAAACTAACTTGTCGTAGTCAGAAGTTTCCATGGACTTTAGAATTTGACCGTTTTTGTCTTGAGTTGAATGGTTTAGGTCAAACCTTTTGTGTTTTCTTCCACAGACATCTCAGAGTAATTTTCTCTGATTTTTCCATGTTCCTCCAGACTGAACACATGCAACTGAGTCAGATGTAAAGTCCACCTTGTTTGCACACATATTTTTTTCTCAATTTTTGATTGGATGGTGTCTTTAATGACTTTGTGGTGTTTTTATGATGTTAAGCACTCTGAACTTTCTTTCTGCTGAAATGTCCGTTACAAATAAACTTAACTGATCGATTTCCTGTAGGACTGAGATCAAGGCTTTGTGATGGTCACACCAAACTTCATCTTTGTTGTTCTTAGGCCACTTTGTAACAAATATTGTGGTACTTTTTTTTTTTTTACATTTATTGTCCAAGCATAAAACCCATATGTGTCCAAGTTTTTATTTCCTGACCGATTCCTAAAATGTTGCTTCAATATCTCAACATGTTTTTCTTCATCCTATTTGTTGTTATGTGAAAAGCATCAGATCCCCACGCAGAAAATGAAAATCAGCCAATCAACATGCTGTCAAAGACTTTACATCATCAAACCTCAAACTGGACTCTCTAAATGTTGCATATGGAATGGCTTGTGTTTGAAAAATACATTTAAATCTCCAAAAACAACTTTTATCACTCTGACATTTAGCAAATGGAAATAATAAAGAGACCTAAAGCAAGAAAAGTTTAGCCTAATTTAACCAAAGATAATGGTTACCTCTCTTTTCATACACTGTATGTATATACCTGGTTTCACTTGTGGGTGATGTGTACTTTTTTTTTTTTCTAAATTCTGGAAAATTCACTAGAAGGTTATATATTGCTACAATATGAAAATAATAAAAACCGCTCTTTCTTTTCCCCCCATGGGGTGTTGCTGGGCAGACAGGGTGCCTGGCTGCCAGGGGACTCACTGGCCAATTAGTGTAGAATTTGAGCATCGTAACGAGCCTTGGAGGAATAAGGGGAGCTTGATTACAACACCTAAACCTTCCTGTCGCCCTCAGCCAGAGGGCCAAATGTCTCACTGACAGCCAAGTCACAGCTGGGGACGATGGGAGAAATGACTCCAGCCCACACTGGCCCCTCTGTTCGGTGCAATTTGGGAGCTGGAGTGTGACTTTCCTTCTGAAGCATTGTTCTTGCGGCATTGTAGATTTTGAATTAATCGTTTCAACAGAGAAGATTTAATAGAGAAAATACAGACAGGACGTGGGAGCAATAAATATACAAAGCATAAGTGCTTGCCTTTTTTTTTTTCTTCCCCCCCGACTCGCCTGTTCGTGCTCGGGCCCTCATTTGGAATTCATGCCGTAAAAACCATAATAAACGGTGGGATTGAATCATTCAGCAGCTCTGATTTGCTTGGCAAGACGCAGATCTGGAGTTTATTTGTCTATGTTGTACTGAATCAGTCAGGCCCTGCTAGAAACAAACTTCAAACAAACACAAGACCCCAACAATTTGGACGTTATTTGAAAAACAGCACCGAGAAGCTGATTGGAATGGCACACTGTGCATCGGGGGTACATGTCTACTGACATGATTCATGTTGTCCGGAAATTTTGTGACTCGGAAATGTCACAACACTAGAGAAATATGACAGTGTAGCGTAACAAAAGCTTAACATCTTGCAAGCTTCGATCCGTTTTCACTCCGGATTTATGAGGAACAAACACACAGTTGAGCATAATTCTGAAATGGAAAGTGAAATAGATCACAATAAAAATCTCAATGAAAATCATAAAGGTGGCACGTACTTTCGCATTCGGTCCCACTCGCTCCGAGAGCCCCAAATAAATATCCAGTGTAACTAATTACCTTCAGCAGTCGCTTTATTACTATTGCCAACACAAACCAAAGGTGTGTAATGTAATCACACTGTAAATACAGAATTTCTTTTAGGGTTCTAAAAGTGTGCTAAGAAGCACATAGATGAGGTGAGAGAATCTGTTCACAAGGGAATTGTGCGAAATTTTGAGATTTTTTTGTGTGTGGCTAATAACTAACTGCACATTAAACTACGCCTACCATTCTCAAGGTGAAACGTGGTGGTGACAGCATCATGCCATGGGGATATTTTTCTCAAGCAGAGACAGGAAAACCAGTCAGAGCTGATTAGACGCCAGATGGAACTAAAAACAGGAATAAAGGAGTTGCAAAACACCTGAAACCTGGTCAACAATCCTGTGCAGAGTACGTCGAGGCCCAGTCAAATTCCACACCAAAATCTAACTGAGAATCTGTTGCAGGATTTGATCCAGACGTCCATTCAGCCCGTCTGCTGTATTGACACCTGGAATGGACAATGCTTTCACAGGTATGGCTTAAAGGCTCCAAGTTATCACTCACTGACGATGTTGAATTACGGAAATTGCGTCATTTTGGCCGAGTTGAACCGTACCACACAGGGCTCCGTTGGATGTGTTGTGTGATTGGTCAGAAGTTTTTTTGGGCATGCTTTATGTGGAAATGCGCTCAGACAGTAATGCTGACACTAATGCTTCAACTCGTCCACTTTTACCATTTTTGTATCTGCAGGCGACACGTTAGAGGGGTGCTTATCCTACGCAGCGAGGAATTATTCACATTTGTGATTCTTCATTACAAAGACTCTCAAATGGCTGCCGCCCCCTGACAATGGATTGCTCCCTGGCCCTCCAGGTGCCCCCGCAGATGACTGACGTGTAACGGCACACCGGATCATTTCTGCAATCGCGTAGGGGTGTCACTTATACCGAAGCGGAAAGAATGTGCCCCTGGTGGTCTGCACCGTGTATAAAAGGTGTATCCCACAACCACGTGACCATGCACTTTCTCCTTCTGTCACACGAACTTCCAAAATGCCTTAATGTTTGCTGCAGTAACGTGACAAAATTGTCATCGCATTTAAAACCTTTGCAAAGGACAGTAGCTTAGTGAGACTCCAAATGTTTCTCTCTTGAAAAATCCAGAAAAATACACAGTGGATTGTAGGGGTACACAGTGCCCTGCAAACGACTCGATCCGGCCACCTTACATGTCATCATGTTCCACTGTAAACTCAATGTGATACGAGCTCCAAAGGCATCTTTTGATGCCAATATTATCCTCAATGTCAGTGCAGATCTCCCGTCAGCCTGGCCCTAATACACAGTGACAGGAGCCCCGCGGTGAGGACCCCACTCTGTCGTCTGATCGGGCAACCAGATGGACAGCTCAGCAGCAAGAGGGGACCTGATATCAGTGTCAGCAATCAGATCTCACCCGCTGAGAACTCGTGTGTGTGCGCGAGGCGGCGTGGGAGAGAGAATACACAGTGCGAAGTGATTGTTGGGAGCATATGTGCTGACGGCAGCCGGAGTGTGTGTTGAAATGAAGATTAATGAATAAGGTCCCGGTAACGTGTGTGTGTGCAGATGAAGTCGGAGGGTCAACGGACGCTTCGAACTGCGCACAGACTTAAACTTGAGTGTGCACACGGTGTGTAGGTGGCGGTATGTAAAAGTGTGTGCCTGGTTAAATTGTATCTTTTGACTTTTCATCACCTCTTGTCCCACAGCTGCGAGGTGCAGACTGACCTGAGAGAAGCTCACAAAGCTCCCCTATAACGTCACAACTCAACAAGTCAAAGGAGTTTTTCTTCAGCTAAATAATTATTATTTTTAAAAAGCTACAAAAGGATTCTTTTGTTGTTGTTGTTGTTCTCATTTTGAAAATTGTTAATTTTTCTGCTGACTCATTTCATAAAAAGAAAAATATCGTCTGTCTTCGGTTAAAAAATAATCAGGGTTAATTTAACTTGAACACAAACCTCAGAAACAATGACTCACATAACAAAAAAACATATAAAAACACTTAAAAAGATCGCTTCCAAGCCATTTTTTGTTTTTTGTTTATTTTGCACTACAACTGCCAGAAGATGATGTCTCTGTACAAACAATGAACACAAGTCATTCCTGAGGGGAACAGAGTCTCCGTCCGAACCGAATGAAGTGGTCATTTGTTCAATGTCAGCTGATAAAGATCGCATGGCTGTCATCGGGAAAATATGCCCCAGATATTCCCTTCAGAAATCACTGATGATAATTAACTATTGCTTGTGATGTGAGGTTAGTAAGTCTCCCAAGGACGATGCATTTCACAATGTTCAGACACACCAGGAAACAAAACAGTGGAATAAAAAATACATAAATAAATCAATGATATCATATTGAAACTGTAAAGTTAGTGTTAGTAAAACTAACTTTATATAGCTGGGGGTATTTTACATATGAGCTTTTTACATCATGCTGCTTGCACCTACTGTCCACAGGCTTACAAAATGTAAAAAAAAAAAAAAAACAGGAAATTTTCCAAAATAAAGAGCATAAAAAACACACAATTTCTATTGAACGGGGCACCCAAAGCTGATTACAAATATAAAATCCTATTTTGTCTAGTTGAGCTGGCATTTTGTTTTCTTTTTCACTTGTTTAACAATATGTGGGCCAACTGCAGGCTTTTTAGTACCTTCCCTTTAATAACCATGATGCAGGAAGGATAGGTGATGAGTGATAAGGAAGGGACTCTAGCAACTATTATTCAAAGTATTTATAATGCAAATTAAAAACACAGAAAATTTTAAAGTTTAGTCCAAAGTGGTAATCCAATTCCATTTAATGTATTTATATTGAGCTAATTTGCAATAAATGTCACCTCTAGGCAGGGGCACTGCCAGAAATCTTGGGCCCCCTGACAAAAAACTTAGATTGCCCCCCTCCCCCGCGCAGCTGTTATTACAATTTTTTGAGTCTATTTGACCCATAAAAAGCGTCACAATTTTAAAGCCTTTCAGCCGCCTTGCTTTCTATGGCCCAATAGCACAATATTTACTGCTCATGAATTTTACATCCAACAGTCCACATCCAGTATGCAAGTAGGTTGCTTAAATTTTTTTCTATTAGTTTTAGATTACTGAAATTCCTCTCCATGAGCAACAGTCAAAAGCAATGTGCAACTACACATGAAGCAATCCAGACTTCTCAAAAATGCTATGTAGTTGCATTTTATTCAAGCTGTAGTACATAACTTTAATAAAAAATGCTTTCTCCATATTTGTTAAAGCTGTCACCATGTCTTAGCAGTTTGTTATGAGGCAGTCTGTGAAAACAATCAATCTCCTTCACCTGCTTCCTGAACTACTATTGCTGGCTAAAGGAATGCACCGTTCTGATCAAAACAACCAATCAGAACTAGTAGGACACTATTAGCACTGTCAATCAACTTCATTCACTCACTGCTAAATTTGCACAAATCGCAGGGGAGGAAGGATGAGCAGCACCACAGGAGATTGTGATTGACAGCACTAAAACTCTCCTGCCACTGACTGGTTGTTTCTAGCACTAAGAGAAAGCAAAGGAAATAGATTTTTCACAGATTACCTCTCAAACCATACTGTCACAACATAATGACAGTTTTAAAAATATGAGAAAAAAATATTGATAAAAAAATTACATACTGCAGCTTTAATTTCACTCAGGACAGAACATGTCAGGAGGGACGTGGGTTAGAGCTGCTGCTGACTCACTCTTCTGTTGTTAAGTGGTAAAAGGGCAGGGCAAAAACGGATGTGTGTTTTGGTCTGGGAGGGGTAACATTAAATTTTTACTTTAACTTTGCAGCAATCCCAGATACTTAGCAAGCATGTGGTGACAGTGGAAAGGAAGGACTCCCTTTCAACAAGAAACAGCCTAAAACAAAACCTGGTCCTGTGTGGCCGGTCGTCTACCTTGACTGACTGATGTTTGGAGAAAACAGTGAAATCAGACACACAAAAACACAAACGCACACACAAAAAAGACAAAACCCCCCCCAAAAAAACAACAGAAGCATTGAGCTATGTCTGTTAAGAAAAGAGTTATAAGATTTAATGGCAGCAGGATCTCTCAAAAAAGAATATGCTTTGTTTTACATTGTGCTGTAAATGTCCTCAATATGCTGTAAAAACAGCCATCAATAACATCAAGGAAACCTGCTTTCTGAATGGATTTCAACATCTTGAGGTCAAATAATTGTTTGGATCCCTGCTGAGACCTGAAGGCTTCGTGCTAATTTCGTTATCGCCTGTTATAATAATATCTAACATTGTCACAAGAACTAGGAAGCATGCTACACATTTTAGCACTTGGGGAAGCTCTCCAAGCAGCAACATGTGGAACAGCGACATATTATATCTGCTTTAGAAAAGCATGAGTAATGTTGGTCATTACTGCCGTTGCACCGATCTAATTTACTCACCTCGACAAGCTAAACATTTGAAGCAGCTCTAACTGATGGTAGTCTTTCTGATTTATTAAGCTAATGTCTATCTGAACACTCAGGGACACTTGCTAGCTGTGTGTAAAACATTCACCTTTCATTATTAAAATAAAACAAAACTAAAACTTAATGGGAAAATTAGCATAACACGTGCTGAATAACTACTTGTCTGAGGTAAACGCTTGAGGTAAGTTAGCCCAAAGTTATCAATTGCTGATTCTTAATTGCCAATTAGGAGCAACTTGAGTCCAAGTACAAACCTCGAGTCACCATCTTTATTTAATATGGACATGTTTTACAAAAGCAGCCAAATTTTTGCATTTAGGCCATATTCTGACATAGACTGCATAAAGAAAAAGAGTGTGGCAGCAGATTAAGAATTAAACACCTCTACCGATACGCTGTTCTAAGCATTTCTCCCAAGCGCAAATTCATACTCCATATCTGGAAGCGTTTTCTGCCGCCGGGCTCCGGCAGTGGGAATGCTTCCCTCCATGGAATTTCTTGCTTGATGTTAAAAACACAAATGAACCACATTTGTGTTTGCTGTTTTCACTTACTGTTTTCCATTTGAAAAGTCTTATGAAGCCACACAAGATGATTATGAAATACAGATGTATAATGAATCCCTCTGTCCCTGCCCGCATCCTCTATCTATCTGTTGCGTGTGAGATTTGGATGGGGAGTCTCTGAGTCTGTGTGTTTGTCCTGCCTTCAAGCTGGAACACAGCATTCCTGCCCCATCCTGCTTTTTCATCTATCTACGGAGGCGGAAGAAACGGAAGTCCACTCTCAAAGCTGAATTTCTTGTGGAGAGATGTTTTTTCTCAGTCGCTTTAGGAGCTGTCAAAATCTCAGTTTGTGCCGTAAAACATTTAAAGATAGATGGCTTCAAGAGCCATTATTCAGATTTTTTTTTCTTCTCTGTGAGTGTTTCAGTGACTGAACATGATATCTTCTTTCCCCGTGTGCTTCCATTTTTCTTTCCTCCCGCCTTTTGTCACTTTACATCTCAACGGATCTGTCTGCCTCTCCATCGATCTGTCAATCTATCCATTTATTCGGCAACATCTGTCATTTCTCTTGTCACTTAAATCATCCATCCATTAGACCATCCGTCTTTCATGCGACTCACTCAGCTCATCCCTCCTTCATTCATCTGTCCATCGTGCCTTTTGTGCACCAAGATGCTGTTGTGACTGCTGCTGTGATCTCGGCTGCTTTCGGCAGAAACACGGTGACAGATTCGAAGCCGAACGTTTGCGTGCCTTTGCGCAGATAGCTCGCACCTGCGGGCCTCGCAGTGTGCCAGAGCGAGAAGAAAGATGCCGTTTTCCTCGTGCCGATTTCAGCTCGCACATGCCAGGTGCAGCTCTTCTGCTAAAACAAGACTCGCAAAGACTCCCGAGAGTTTCAGCACAGCATCAACAGGTTGTGTAATTTCTCTGAAACGGATCTCTGGCTGGCAGAGTTAAATGAGGAAGTGGAATGAATTAGTTTTGTGTGTGTAAGAGAGTTTTTTGGGTGGTGTAAGGGAAGGTTTGTGTATGTTGGTGTATACAGGGGTTTAGAAGCCAGGGGCCTCTTTTTTTTTTTTTTTTAACCAAGTGAGTGAAATACAGGGTTGGTTGTTGGGGTGACAAGCCCTGACAGACCACTCCAACTCAACCATCAGCACCCTCTCACCAAGGAAATACACAGATCTCCTGTTTTTTTTAATTTTTTTTTTATACACACTCCCTCCAGTCTGTTACTTATTCCTGAAAGCTCACTCTGTGCTTCTCCCACCATTCCACATGCTCTAATTGCGCCCTCTGACTAAACAGTGACTTGCAAAAGTGCTTGTATTACTTTAACTTCACCTCATTGCATCATGCTACAATATTTACTAGACCAACACAACATACTCGCAGCATTACTGTGAAGTAAGACGAAAATCATACATAGTTTTCAAGATTTTTGTCATAAAAACCCAAAAGGTGCAGCATTTCCACCAGTGTATTATAGGCCTGGCGGGCTGCCAGGCTTTACTTTTGCCCCCACCAGGCTTAGCTTTGCTTATGTATTTAAGTCTTTATAAAATGTTTGCATTGTTTAAGACTTTATAGTTGCTGTTCAGATATTAATCTTCCAATCTTCCAATAACACATAATTGTCAAATTACATTTTCAAATTTCATGTAACCTATAGCCATTTTTTACCTCAAAAACACGGCGAGCCGCTGGATGAATGACTGCCGAGTGCCCCAACAACCGGGCTCAGCAAGTTTTCTGGTGGAAACCTTGAAGGTGTGACGTAAATTTAATTAGCCTGCTGAGT